GCGAAGGCCTACGGCGGCCCCGGATGAGGCCGATCAAGGCCTCGGCCTGCGACCTCGGGCGAGGCCTACGGGGGCCTTGAGGCGCAAGATGGCCCCGGGCACTCGCGTGGATCCGGTCAACGCGTGATCCAACTGCCCCGCGAGAATAGGGGGCGGTTGGGAGTCTTGGCTGGTATAAAAGGATTAGTTAGTGTCTTGCCTAAGGACATCTACTTCTGCTATTATTACCATATTTATCGTGTAACCCTTTTACGAATATTATCAATACAAAGTTGTCCCTGTGACACGCATTTTTCCTATCCATTACTTATCGGGTTTAGTGATTCGGGTCTACCCCGGGTTAATTAAATCTATCAGACGGAATTAGTGATGTTCATTTTTCCAAGGTCTCATTTTGGACGGAAACCCGTTTTCTGACCAATAACTCCTATTTTCCGTCCAACTTTAGTTGGACGGAAATTGCAGGATTTCCAGTAGTGTGCCCCCCTCCCCCACCCCATCCCCTTTGTATATATATATTGTATATTTAGGCCCCTCATATATACTGACTAAACGTGTATGAATACTAGATGTACAAAAGTTGAACTAAAGGATATGTTACCTTATATATGGTTAGGTTTGTGTTAGTGTGTGATGTGTTTTTGGTTTCGAATTTTAAGGGTGTTGATTTTCTAAATTTTATTTTTTGACATTCCCTTTTTAATATTAAAATGAGATTATAATTGCGATTTATGAGATTAATTTTTAATTCTAATTGGATTCTTTAAATGTAACAACATTGGTGTTTTCTTTTAAATATTAAAGATGATTGATTTATAATGTAATTTCTATTTGAACTATGTTTTGTTTTGCGTTTTAATGTATTTTTTTTTTAAAAAAAAAAACTTAGCTTTAAACTAGCACAAAATTGTAGGAACCGTTGGTAGGAAAACAAATAATAATCAAATAGAAATTGACTATTATTTTTCTGGAAAGAAGGGAAGAAAAGATGAAGAAATTGGCTAGTGTTTGGTGTTGGGTTCTTGCAAGAGTCAAGTGTGCACTCTTTCCTTAAAACCTTATTTGCCACCCCCCAAAGATGCTAGGAGCGTTGTGGCCTAGGCTTCCCAGGATAAAACTTGCTAGTGATTCAATGTTTGAGCACTCAAACAAGGAATCCGGCGAGCAAGACACGGTATGAACACAGTAGGCTTAGAGAAGGAGTAGAAGCAGAGAGGTTTTGAGGCTAAAAGATGAACTTTCGTGTTCTATATTTCTGTGTAAAACTCTACTGCCCAAACTCCTTCTTATATAGGGGTGGAGGACATGAATAGCTTTTATTAGGCACTTAAAGGCACCCCCCCACTACACCTTGTAACAGCACCATTATCATGGCCTTCAATTCAAAATTAAAAAATTGGAATTAATTCAAAAATTAATTCCATAACGATAGAATTGAAGAGCCAACGGTCACAAAACTGCACAGGTTCGTGTAGGCCGAAACTCCCAGTTTCGACCCCAGGCCGAAACTAGAAGTTTCGGCCATGGGCCCTTTATCATGTCTCGGCCCGCAAGGTCGAGACTTCAGTTTCGGCCACCACAAGGCCGAAACCAAGGTGTGGCCGAAACTACCTACTGGTTTCGGCCACAAAGGCCGAACCATGGTGTAGTTTCGGCTACATCTTACAGTGGCGTGTTGGAAATGCCAATTTCCGGACGACATTCGTGCACCCAGGTGTCGGCGCACACGAGCTCGAGCTTGAATCAAGCCTTTTTCAAGCTCCTCTAGTTGGAATTCGGCTACATCTTACAGTGGCGTGTTGGAAAATGACAGTCCGTTTAGCATAACTTATGCCCGCAAGGCCAGCCAATTTTCGGACGACATTCGTGCACCCAGGTGCCGGCGCACACGAGCTCGGGCTTGAATCAAGCCTTTTTCAAGCTCCTCTAGTTGGAATTTGACTTGCACCCCCCCCCCCCCCCTCCCCCCCGCGCGAGAGAGCCTCTATGCTATACAATTCTACATGCTTCAAATGAGCTCTTGTATATAAGGGGGGAAAATCTTCATTCCAAAGCAATGTGGGACAAAAGCTCACTTTTTCCCTTCATTTTCCAACTCAAATGGGTCTACTTTGAGAATCAATATCTCATTCACCCATTATCCGTTTTGAGCGTACAATATATCAATCTCTTCGTCTCACTACGAAGTATCCGAATCCACTTTGAACCGACCCAAATCGGAAGTGGACCCCACTGATAATTGTACCGCAAAATAGCCACTTAACATGCCATTTTAAACTATTTTTTCCAACAAAAATCATATAAATTTGATGTCAAAAGTACATAAAAATAGTAACACTCATCACATGTATTTATCTTAATATGTGTATCCATGCAGAGTAACATGTGTGGTACGTGTGATACACGATATAATTAATGATCACATGAAGATGAGCTGTCTGTTGAGGATAATTAATCTTTTTCTTCCAACCAAACCACTATAAATACTTAAATAGCTTTGCATTGTTATTCATCAAACTAAACTAAATTTCATAAATCTGAATTTGTTTATGGGATTTAGTTTCTTCATCAATCAGTCGGTTATTGAACAATGTTCAAAATAAAAATGTATGCTTTAATTTTCAAGAGTGAGTGAGTTTACTCAATCTTTGTGTTACTTTCATTATCTAATAATGTCAATTTAGTAGAGCTTACATGAAGATCAGTTTATTTGATCTTCATAGTGCTTGGTTAGGACTTTCGATTGGAGTTAATAAGGACAACAAATTAGGTCCCCACCTTTTGTGTACTTTAATTTTATTTTATCCAATCCAATAAACTTTGGTATGTTTTATTTTACTAAATTCCAAGTATAATTTCAAGTAACAACATTAATCAAGAATTTAATTGATGATGGAAACATGTAAGCTAAGGGGCAATTTATATATCATGGATCAGGGTCCACATAGCATTATGAACCCAGAATCGAAACAGCGAGGTACATAATTCATACACATGTTATATATTCATTTATTTTTCAAATCTGATTTAGGTACATAATTTGTGTTCATAGGTACATAATTTCACAATACAAGACACAAAAATTAATAACATAAGACACAATTACTAATTTGTTTCAAGTACAGAATTCATACTCAATCTTAAGGATACAGAATTTCATAACACAAAGACACAAAAACTAACAATATAAGACACATGCACTAGCAGGGACGGAGCCAGGACGGAATAGTGCGGGGGGCCAACTACGATTGAAGTACTAAATCAAATACATTGATACCCCGTTAACATATCTTAAGATAATCATTACATTACAAATTCAATAAAGTTTTTAATAAATCATTTATAATTGAATCTATATTAAATTATTTTGCAATATGTTTTGTACGATTGAAAGAATAAAAACATGCATGTTTTAAAAGACTATTGATTATTTCTTGAAAAAACCCTCTTCACAACATAACATAATAGCAATTGTTTTCACAAATACATATACTACACAATTGTTACATTATTATGCATTTTAAATTAAATACAAAATTTATCACACAACCACAAATTTACATAATTAACCAAACAAATGCACCTTGATATCCATGATTTAGAATCAAACAAAACAATTATTTAAGATAAACAATAGAATATGAAACAAAAATTCACCAAACAAGTAGTTAGAAACAAAAATAAAAAACAAAAATTAACTTGAAAAATATGCGTAGATTTTGTTAATGACAAATTATCTTATTATAACTTATATGCCACATATATGCATGGTTCTAGAGAGAGAAACTAGTAAATGATTAAATGAGTTTTAATTTGGATGTGAGTCAACAATATAGAGAATTCATAATTTGAAATACGAGATAACTGAAAAAGTTGAGAAGATAAAGAAATTTATAACTTAACTTGTAAGATTAATTAAGTGGAGGGGGGCCAAATATTTTTAAAAAAACAACAAAATTTTAAAATTCTATATAATATTTTTAAAAAAAATTAATACATATATAATATTAAAATTATTTGGGATGGGGGAGGGGGGCCAAGGCCCCCCTAGGCAAGCACTTGCCTCCGTCCATGTGCACTAGGGTCCACAATGTAGTGTAAACCTTGGTTCATGATATATCCATGATATAAGAATTGCAGACATGTTTGGTTGTTGGCGGATCCGTCAAAGTTTTGACGAATCCACATGACTTTGACTTGTTGATCATGGTCAAAACGCCAAAATCATTGTTTGGTAAACCAGCGGATTGCTCCAAACCAAACGCCCTTACTAAAAAAAACTACTCAAAGAGCCTTTAACTTTAAGGCTCCATTTATAAGGAGTCTTAAAGGCTCTTCATTTCCATGCCCAACCGAATTCGGATGGGCACCACTAAAATTAATGGAGACCCAAGGCTCGTTTTATAGGAGACTTAAGGCTCCTTCTCCACTTTTTCAATTGTTATATCGTGCACCTGCATTGTGCGCCCTAAAAATTTCATGTTTCGTATGTACATTATTGTATAGTAAAATACACATAATCTAACATAATACATAATACACATAAACTTTCACATAATACATATGAACTCTTAACATAATACACATAAACCCTTAACATAATACACATAAACTTTTAGGGCGCACAATGCAATGTACACCCTGGTGCACGGTATAATTTGCCTCATTTTTCCCACTAATGTGGGAAAAGTGGAAAAACAAAAGGGACATCCTCCTCCTCCTCCTCCTATTATTATTATTATTATTATTATTATTATTATTATTATTATTATGTTACAATTGTATTAGTCAATGATTGTATTTATGTTGTTATAGAATAGTGCAATTAGTTTAGACTTTTACTGATCGTTAGTTAGAAGTCTATTACTGATATACTTGTAGCTCCTATTGTATTGGTTAATTGATTTTTACGATTCACATCTCTCATCATAATCTTTTTTTTTTTTTTTTTTTGGTGAGAAAAAAGACCCGTACCCTACGGGAGAAGGAAGAAAAAGCAACTACCACACTCTAGCTGCACTTGCCCCAAAGGCATCCGCTGCTAAAAGGGGATTTAAGCTTAACGGCGGGATATCGAGCCACGTAGTACCCCAATCTCCGTTTTGGCCCAAGTTGACCAGATGATCCGCGCATTTATTACCCTCACGCAAAGTATGTCGGAAGATCACTTGAATCATACTAGTCGCCAAGATTTTGCAGTCCTTTAGGATAGAAGAGGAGCACTCTTCTGCAATCTTATCTCCGCACATAACTGCCACCACAGGTTCAGAATCCAACTCAAAAATTACTTTACTTAGCCCCCTGTCATATGCCAGCCGTAGACCCTCCCTTAGGCCCCACAACTCCGCGGCAAAGCTATTAGAAACCCCAATATTCGTCATAAACCCAAAAAGCCACTCCCCTTTGTGATCACGAGCGAGCCCCCCAGCGCTTGCCAGTCCCGTGTTTCTCTTGAAAGCACCATCAGTATTAAACTTGATCCAACCAGTTTCCGGTGGTTGCCAACACACCCACCGCATCTTCCCCACATGAACACACTTCTTATTTAAAAAGACCTCAACTGTATCTAAGGTCAGGTTGTTTGCACGTCGCATGATATCCATCGGAGCCGAGGCTGTGTTTTCGAAGATCCTCTGGTTTCGGGCTTTCCAAATCTCCCAGCATGTATAGATGAATGTCACCCCCCAAGGGCAGCCATTGATCCAATCAGACGCGCAGCAATTATTCTTAACCCAAGACTTCAACGGCGTGACCAAGCTGTACTGGAAGGAAACCGGGTGATGCGTTCTTCTCCAACAATCCTTCGCGAAACTGCACTCCATCAGCACGTGGTTCATCGTCTCATCACCATCGCCACAGGTCGCACACAAAGTATCCTCTGTCATCCCCTTTCTCCAGCGTTCCATGTTGGTGAGAAGTCTGCCTCTCATCAAGAGCCACAAGAAAAGCCTGCATCTCTCTGTGACACGCATCTTCCAGACCCAGCTTGTGTCCATGGCGTCCTCATCGTTACCTGCAATATGAGAAAAAGCACTCCGCACCGAGAAGGCACCCGTAGGTGATCTCGGCCAGTAGAGAGAGTCACTTACCTGTTCGCAAACGGCGATGGGGGTGGCCCTAATCCCGTCGATAATATCGTGTGGCAAGAGGGAGGAAAGTTTATCGACATTCCACGTCCGGTTGGGGAGTATGAAGTCGCTGACTTTAGCCTCCGATTGCGAGTCCGGTATAGTAACCTCGTCCATGAATGCAAGGGGTTTGTCACCAGTCCACCAGTCTGACCAGAAATTCAGGGAGAGCCCATTACCAATTCTCCAAGCAGCACCAAGTTCAACGATGGACCTTCCTCTCATGATGCTTCTCCACCCCCAAGACGCATTAGCAATCATTGGGGTGGCAAAAAAATTTTTATTTTTGACATATTTCTCCCTCATCACCTTCACCCACAGCTTATCATGACTGGTGACCAATTGCCAGGCAAGCTTGGCCAAGAGAGCATTATTAAAGTCCAAACATTTACGGAGCCCCAGACCCCCTGCGTCTTTCGATTTACAAATATCATTCCACCCAACGAGATGAACTTTTTTATTCTGAGCCGAGTCGCCCCAAAGGAAGTCTCTACAAATTCTATCAATATCATTACAGGTTCCCGCCGGGAGCTTGAAGACCTGCATGGTGTAGACAGGCATAGAGGACAACGCAGATTGAACCAAAGTCCGCCGCCCCGCAAGGCTAAGCATATTACCTTTCCAATTGGCTAACTTTCGTTTCATACCATCAAGGATATAGCCGAAGGTATGTTTGGAGACTCTCTTATGCAGAATAGGGATTCCCAGGTAAGTGCCCAAATTATCGGAAACTGAGATCCCAGTCAAGTTTTTGAGGCCTCTCTTGATTTCCGAGTTAGTATTAGGGCTGCAGAAAATATTAGATTTTGAAACGTTGATATTGAGCCCAGACTTACCAGAAAATTTTTTCAGGCAGTTCATTATCATCCGCCCCTGATCCTCCGAGGCTTCAGCAAACAGCATGAGATCCTCAGCAAAGAAGAGGTGGGAAACACCCGTCCCTCCTCTGGATAGCGTAATGGGTTTCCAATTCTTAACTCTGACCTTCTCTTGTATGTCCCAAGACAACCTCTCCATCGCTAGAATGAAAAGATAGGGTGCCAGAGGATCGCCTTGTCTGAGGCCTCTACCAGGTTGGAAGGGCGCAAGTTTCTCACCATTCCAAAGGAGGGAGATGGAGCTTTCCCTTACTGAAAACATAATCAAACTGATCAGATTCTGGGGGAACCCGAAATCCACCAATGTGGATTCCAGGAACTCCCAGTCAATACTGTCATAGGCCTTATGGAGATCAAGTTTGATTGCCATAAGCCCTTTTTTCCCTTTTTTGAGCCGCATATAATGGACAATTTCTTGGGTCAGGATGATATTATCCGCCGTAGACCTCCCCGGGAGGAAGCTGTTTTGGAAGGGCCCAATCAGATTTTTCATGATGGGCCTCATGCGGTTCACGATCACTTTCGAGATAATTTTGAAACTAACGTTCAAGAGGGTGATCGGCCTAAAATCGCTAGCAGTTTCTGGGCTATCTTTTTTAGGAATGAGAGTGATGAAAGACTCAAGGATTTTAGGAGGGACCCTACCATCTCGGAGAACTTTTTTGACAAAGGTAGTGATATGAGATTTAACTTCCTCCCAAAAAGTTTGATAGAAGGCCGCTTGTATACCATCCGGTCCCGGGCTTCCAAATTTCTTCATATCAAACACCGCCTTTTTGACTTCACACATTGTCACTTCCCGCGTGAGCTTGTGCATTTGGCCAGTATCAAGTTTGGGCCCACAGTACATATCATTGGGTGAACCGTCCATGATATTTTTCCTGCCAAACAAATCTATAAAGAAATTAGAGATATGATCGGAAATTGTTTTAAAATCGGAATTCCACTCACCATTAATTTTTAACATCCGTATCCTAGACCTGTTCCGTCTTATAAGAGTGGATTTATGGTAAAAGGCTGTATTTCTATCACCATCTTGGATCCACATACGCCTGGATTTTTGGAACCAAAGCAGTTCTTCTTGTTTCAGAACCTCATTAAGCTCTGTCACTAACTTTCTCTCTAACACTTGAAGACCTCTCGAGGTGTTGTAAAAGACTGATTCCTGGACCCCTTTAATGCGTGCCTGAAGGCTAGCTTTACGTCCAAAAATGTTGCCAAACGTTTCTTTATTCCATTTCTTGCTAAGATTGGTGACCTCAGAAATGGCTCCCACCACATCCAAGAGACTGTTACTCCAAACTCTGCCCCAAATATCCCTGTAATCTTCTCGTGTCAACCAGGCACCCTCAAAACGGAACGGTCGGTTTTCCCTCCGTGGGGGATTCCCTGCTTCACAAAGAAACTTTAGGGGATGGTGATCCGAGTGGGTTCTAGGTAAGATAATCGCTTTGGCTTCTGGAAAAAGATTTTGGGCTTCGAGATTCCACAAAGCCCTATCCAGCTTCCTACGCTGCACCGTCCTTCCCCCTTCTTGTCTAAACCATGAGTAGCTGACACCTGAAGTCCCCATATCTAAGAGACCGCAAGCACTAAAGCTCTCCACGAAGTTCAGACAACGACTAGGATTGACTGAGCTACTCCCCCATTGTTCTTGGTTGTCAGCAATATCATTGAAGTCTCCCATCATGATCCAAGGGGCATTAAACTCGGAACTATAGCTCAAGCAGTCGTTCCAAAACCTCTCTTTTGCCATCCTATTCGGCCTCACGTAAGCGAACGAGACCCGAACGTTTGAGTGCGGCCCACTCACCAAACCATGGATAGCTTGAGATGTATTCCTGATCACTGCAAAATTAAAGATGCTAGATCTCCAAAAAAGGGTTAGACCACCAGCAAAACCTAACGGATCAACATTAAAAAGTTTATCAAAGCCTAACTTATCAGCCATTTTTTTTATCCTGTCAACATTATTTGTCTTAGTCTCAAGGAAGCAAATGGCACCAACCTGGTTATCCCTCATTAAGGACTTGGCGTGACTCACCGTTAACCGGTTCCCCACCCCCCTACAGTTCCAAGAGAGAAAAATCATTGAGACATCTGGCGAGACGAGGAAGCATTAGCACCGCCTTCCCCCTGCGTAGGCTGGATGAATTCCAAGGCACTCCCCAACGAGTTGGAAGTGTTGACGTTCCCAAACACAAAGGTTCTATCAGGAAAATTATAGGTAACCGGTTCAACCACACCACCACTGTTGATGCCTGAACCCCCTGCACTGTTTTGGTTTTTTTTTCCCTCTGGAATTTTTCTTCTGGGATTTACCTTTCGACAAGTTCCTGGTGTTAGACTTCTCGTCCACCAGAATTGGAGTATCAACTAGGCCTTCCAACTCCTGCAAGCATCCAAAATAATTGGCTGTAGAGAGAGGTTGCACGTCAGGCGGCTTACCTGAGGGGGTGCTGGAAGACCGTCCTACCGTCGGCGTTCTAGGCGGCGGGGGAACACCATTGATAGGACCTTGGGACGACTGCCTCCCCTTTCGCATGGCTGTTGGTGGAGGACGAGAACGAGGGGGCAAACCTTCTCTGGCAGAACCTGGTTGCGGCGAACCACCATTGGCCGGAGGAGGAGTAGCTGTAACAGAGCCTTGAGGACGGGAACCCCCTTCAGCCTGTTTACCTTTGTCTAGATTTCTGTTACCCTGCTTCTGGATCATTCTCGCGTTACCATTACCGCCATCTCTTACTCTGTTCTTGCGTTTGACTATCATCCAAGCGCCATGCAATTTAGTTGGGGTCATTGATTTCTCAACGTCCACTTCCATACCCGCCTGGGGAGTAACCGTATCGCCTGAGTCACTCCCGCCTCCTTCCACATCTCTAGGTTTATTTTTAGAGCAAGCAGAAGATCGATGCCCCACTTCACCGCAATCAAAACAAATCAAATGGAGCCCCTCGAACTCTACTTTCTGAAGCCAATCATGGACTTGAACAAGCGCTACCAAGGGTTTGGAGAGATCCACTTCAACAGCCACCCTCGCGAACCTGCCGCGCTCCATCCCTTCCGTTGTACGATCCAGTTTGAGAGGAATGCCCACCTGCGATAAAATCATCTTGAGGATATCATCCCTGAAGCACTCCATCGGGAGATCCGATAGCCTAATCCAGACTGCCATCTTTTCTAACTTAGCAGTGCTCGGGTTAAAAACAAAATCCTGAAATTTTAACTTCCCGGCTAATTCCTAAAAAATCTCTCTTCCTAATAAAATATATTGATTTCTACTTTCCCATTCGTACAATAATTCTGCGTTAAAATTATATTCTAATATTATAAAATAGTGTAATACAATCTATACTATATATAAAAATAAAATCCTGACTTCCCGTCCAATTCTTAAAAAATCTCTCTTCCTAATAAAATATATTGATTTCTACTTTTCCATTCTTCCAATAATTCTGCGTTAAAATTCTATTCTAATATTATAAAATAGTGTAATACAATCTATACTATATATAAAAACAAAATCATGAAATTTTAACTTCCCGCCCAATTCCTAAAAAATCTCTCTTCCTAATAAAATATATTGATTTCTACTTTCCCATTCGTACAATAATTATGCGTTAAAATTCTATTCTAATATTATAAAATAGTGTAATACAATATATCTATACTATATATAAAAATAAAATCCTGAAATTTTACCTTCCCGCCCAATTCCTAAAAAATTTCTCTTCCTAATAAAATATATTGATTTCTACAATAATTCTGGGTTAAAATTTTATTGTAATATTATAAAATTGTTTAATACTATTCCTATTCTAATCTATATCTATTTTATATATCAGTGTTGTAAAAATTGTGTCGCTGGTCGCGGCAAAGAAGGCCGGAATCGGCCTCCTCAGCGGCCGCCTCGCCGGCTGAACCGGCCTTCAATTTTTTATTTTTTTTTTAAGTTGTAAAGTGTCAAAAGTTCGACAAGGCATAACTTTTGACTCCGTTGTCCGTTTTGGACAAATGTTTTTTTGAAATCGCATATTTTTTCGAGATCTATCCACCGCAAACTGCCGTAGGCGGTTTGGCCCACCAATTTCTAAAAAAAATACTTTATTAAAGAGTTTCTAAGAAAAAACTATGAGAACCTTATGTTTTATTAATGAATTTTTAAAATTTTTAATTAAACAATTGTCTCGTGGATTATTTAATAATATTTCTTTATAATTGGTCAAATTATTTAATTATGGTAAATTTGGGAATAATTAATGATGGTAATAGAAATCCTAGAAGAATATAGAATTGAACAATATTTAATTATTGTTATATTATTATTGTGACTCACGGAATACAAGAGTTAATGCCATTTTTGGTCCTAGACTTATTGGGGCATTGACACTTTTCATCCTCCATAATAAAAATTGCCACTTAGTAGCCACTGTTATTGATCGTTGGACAGTTTTGATCCTCCGTCAATGACGCCGTTTGTTGACCGTGAATTAGAAGAGTTTTTCTGTCTTTTTATGTTTTAATCCTTGTATTTCTCCATCCATTGGTCACTGCTACATCCATTTCTTCAAACTGAGGTTATCCGCTTCTGTCTTTTCTAACATTTAGAAACCATCTTCACCCAACTAACAATCACGAATTTTACATTTGACATCAATCTCAAGATAATGGAAACAAGTGCAGTTGGAATAGAAAGGGCGTTAGTCCATGCCTGTGGAAATTTTGTCGAGCATACAACATAACTAGCAAAGTCAGGAATATCACCCAACCCCTCCCTTAACCTTTCTGCATCAACTATAATAGGTATGCTCCTACTCTTTGCCTCCTGCACTACAATCAAAGCAGTCTCATGCAGCCTTCCATCTAAGTAGACAATATTTACTCCAAGCGCTGAAGACAATTTTGATTTGGGTATGTAGACCCTCAGATATCATGGGTGGATATCCTGGAGTGAAAATGCACGTGCGAGTTTTTTTTTTTTTTTTTTGGTTGTCAACAATGACATATGTGAATGGTGAGTTTCCTCCTTTGGACACCACCATAAAAGATGTATCAACACCATCCCTTTCAAGCTCATAAAGTATTCTTTCGCCATGCGAGTCATCAGCAACCTTAGATATGATCCTTGGATTAAGACCAAGACGGATTTTATCATCCAGGTTTTATCAAAGCATTGCCAGTGTTACCACCTCCTTGAACCTCAAAGCTGGTGCTCCGAATTTTATCATCCGGGTTGGGGAATGCAGCTACAGCAGTCAGGAAGTCAACACCGGTCATTCCAACACCTCAGACAATGCGATTTTTGGGGAGCGACGGATTCCACATTTTCAGCTTGAAACTTCAATGAATTTCAGGTAGAATAAAGAGTTTTTGAGGTTGTGCACCAAGTAGTTGTGGTCAGAGAGAGAGAGAGATGGGAAGGATATTTGTAGTCAATATGGAAGAGAGGACTTACAGGTGAAAATTCTACATCACGTCATCTATAACTACAACTGTTATTTACCATAGGAGGGTTCGCCGACCTGCTGCCCTCTCTGCTTCGCCGAAACCAAAAACCACCGGTGAAGGCCCCAACCTCGCCGGATCTGTTGCTGCACCGCCAGATCTGCCTTACTGGTCCGTCGCCGGAAGGAGTTACTGCCTCGTATGCTCGCTGTCGTACCCACAACTCACTGGAGAAGAACCTCGCTGCTACTCACTACCGACGGTTACTACTTAGCCGCAAAGTCTCGCCATCTTGCCTCACAGGAGTCACAACAGCACTGGTCTAAACAAGATTAGAAGAATAAGACATAAAAAGACAAAAAAGCCCTTCTAATTCACGGTCAACAAACGGCTTCATTGACGGATGATCAAAATTGTCCAACGACCAATAACAGTGTCTACTAAGTGGCAATTTTTATTATGGAGGATGAAAAGTGTCAATGCCTCAATAAGTCTAGGACCAAAATGGCATCAACTCCGGAGTACAATACAAGAATATTTAATTATGGTTATATTATTATTGTGCCTCACGACCATTATATACTAACAGTACTTGAAAAGAAACTAATAATAATAATAATAATAATATAATAATAATAATAATAATAATAATAATAATAATAATAATATAAGTGGTAATAATAATATCTAAAAGTAATTAAGTGTTAATAATAATAGTAAGAATATTAACGTAAGAGTTGTAACATAGAATAAATTGTAATAATTAATAACTATAGTCTAGGATTAAATTTGAAATTGTCAGGAAAGATAAACGACCTCTGGTGAAATTAACTCTTAAATAATTATATATCGATTTAAATATTCTTAATATATTACAACAATTCCATTAATGCATCGCACGAGTGAAAATACTAGTAACAATAACAATAACAACAACAACAAAATAAACTCTTATTTTAAGCTACGAGCTTATTTTAGGAACATTACCAAACAGATCTATAGCTTATTAGTAGCTTAAAATAAACTATAAATTCCTAAATAAGTTATGTCAAACATACTCTTTCTCTAGCTACATCCATGCAATATTCTTTTCTCATTCAATATTCTCCCACTTTTAAAAGTTGTCCTACACTCCCACTTTCATATTATATTATAAATATAATAATAAAATAATATTGTACTCCTTAATAAAATAACTAATAATAATAATAAATAAATAAGTACACAAAAGGCTACCATGAGGTAGCTTTTGCAGGTTTAGCAAACTTTCCAATTAAGAAAGATTGCAAGCAACATGACTTGCAAAATTAAAACAAAAATAAATTTAAAATGCATGCAACTTCAATGTCCACATCATCTTAAAAGTGAAAACATTTTTGGGATAATGATCATGGCCGGATTTTTAGATGTATTTGTTGAGCTACAGCACAGGGCCCTAAATTTTAGAGGGATCTCAAATTTTGGCAAATTATGATGTGCAATCGTGTGTACCATGCATGGTGCACACGGAATTGGATCCATAATTTCTATACTATAAATCCATAATTTCTATATTATAGATTCATAATTTTTATACTATAAATTCATAAGTATTGAACTCTATATTCACAATTACAAAACTCTATGTTCATAATTTTCAATGTTCATATTCCGAATTATTGAACTCTGTATTATAATTTGATAACTATACAGTTTAGAAATTATGAATCTATAGTATAGCAATTATGAATCTATAGTATAGAAATTATGAATCTACATTTTAGAAATTATGAATCTACAGTATAGAAATTATGAATTTATAGCATAGAAATTATGAATCTATAATATAGAAATTATGGATCTATAGTATAGAAATTATGTATCCAATTCCGTGTGCATCTTGCATGGTGCACACGGTTGCACAGCATAATGCTCCCCAAATTTTAGAGGCTCAATATTTAATTTTTACCTAGCTAGTATAGAAATAAAAACTAAAAGTTTTCAAATTAAACTTAAAAGGTTGCATGAAGAAATGGTAATATCTTGTGCTTATTGTATTTCAACTTGGAGGTCACATCTTTTTACAAATCGCTGATACAATCCGCTGGTCAAACACGCTAATACAATCCGCTATTTGCTAAGCGCTAATCGCTAATTGATAAACAAAGCCGCAAAAATAAAAATGTGAGGCAATGCTGCTAGGTAGCTTAGGTTATTCTTATCCTTGCAATACTCTCACTTTCAAAAATGGGTCACACTTCTACATCATCAAATTTACAATTTCTTCACTATTTTTTCTACATCCCTAAAATAATTTCTCTCTTTAAAAAGTGGTTCCATTTTCATATTATAAATATAATAACAAAATAATAATAAAATAACTAATAAAAAATATTAATAAAAAAGTACACAAAAGGCTTGTAGGAACCGTTGGTAGAAAACAAATAATAATCAATTAAAATTGACTATTATTTTCTGGAAAGAAGGGAAGAAAAGATGAAGAAAATTTGGCTAGTGTTTGGTGTTGGGTTTTTGCAAGAGTCGAGTGACCACTCTTTCCTTAAAACCTTATTTGCCACCTCCCGTAGATGCTAGGAGCGTTGTGGCCTAGGCTTCCCAGGATAAAACTTGCTTTTGATTCAATGTTTGAGCACTCAAACAAGGAATCCAGCGAGCAAGACAGGCTATGAACACAGTACGGCTAAGAAGGAGTAGAAGCAGAGATTTTTGAAGCTGGAAAATATACTTTCG